GGGGATGCGATAGCCTACTGCTATGGGGCTACATTGCGAGGGTGTGGAGCTTAACGCCATGAGACACAGGTTGTAGAGGGGTGCTACAGAGTTGGGCATAACGGAGATGTTTGGTTGTTCGTTGGGATGAGTGATGGAAGATGATTGGAAGGGAATGAAGCTTGCTGGAATGAGTGTGCATTGAGGGTGCATGCTTGAACTATGGCATGTGGGATGATGGTTGGCAGCCAGAGGGGGAGTTTGTTATGTGATGCTATCATTTGCATTCATGTCTGTCGGCTTCCCATCATATGTTCGTGCGTTGTATGCATGGTGTGAGAGTGTGCAACAATTTTCTAAATGTGTGTGAATGTTATTTGGCTTGAGCAGATATCTGAAATGACTCCTCTGCTCAAGAGCTTTCCGACGAACCAAGGATCGTCGCGATCGGAGCAAGAAAGAAAAGACATGATCGTTCGAAGTTTTGATTGTGATGCGGCGACTATGGGAATTTGCAGGTTGACTCAATATGGGGTGCAGACTTTTGGGGGTTGGGAAATTCGTCCCCATCACTGTAGATGATGCCATGTTGTTGGGAGAAATTGAACCAGGTTGGCAAGTGTGGCCAAGTTGGGTGAGGTGGATGGCATAGGTTGGGAAAGTGACAAAGGTCAAAGTTGGGGTGCCCATAGGGAGGGAATCTTTGTGGTATGGGGTTTTTTTGGTTGGGGACTCCTTGGGGACCTTCCCTCTCGTCCTCCTCTTCCCTCCTACCTGCTTTCTAGCTACTTCAATTCCCTTGTGTGGATTCTGTATGATATTTGTTATTGAGTTAAGTTTCAATGGCAGCATACCCCCTAGTACGCCGAAATTCATAACTCGAGTTATACTCCATCTTTTGATACGAATCAGATTGAGAAAGGTAGCCATGGTCAAGGGCTACAACATACTCGAGTGTGAGAGAATTCTAACAATCAGGAAGTAGCGCTCCTGACGTGGGCCAAGCACCGGGGAGGGGCCCCAGACGTCCAAGTGCAGGGTCTGAAAGGTAGCCGTAGTAGGGGGGAACGAGGAGGAGTGAGGGGCAGCGTGCTGCCGACACTTGACGCAAGGAGTGCACGGCGGCGCAGGCGAGCGAGGAAGCGGGGCAAGCGACTTTGGGAGACCTGAGACCAGACGGTGACGTACCATCCTACTGAGACATGGGAACGACGGGTGACCTAGACGGTGGTGCCAGAGTACTGACGGGTGGGTGAGGGACCGTCAGTTGCACGACACAACAGCCTTCTGACCTGACCTGACCTGAGCTGACCCTGTATGGTGGGACCCAGTGTGTAGTGAGTACAGACCAGAGCACAGCTCCATGTGGAAAGTGGCCAGAAGCGCCCCAGTGGCACCGACTGTACATGAAGCAACAGGCTCGTCCAGTGGGAAGTGAATACACCTAGGTCATGGAGGTGACTGACACCCACCAGGTTCCTGGAGAACGAGGGGGTGTAGTAACCTGTCAGAAACCCAGAAGGAGCCGCTGGACACGGGAGAGTGGTGGTGCTATGGGCAATGACAGGTCCCACAGAGGAATCAGCCAAGGCGACAATTAGTGGAGTGTGCGGTGGCGTGAGGTCAGTACAGTCGTGAAAGAAACAGCTGGACGCTCCAGAGTCTAGGGTGAAGGAAAGTTGTGCAAGCTGTGAGGTCGCACCCGAGCCAGCGACAAAGGCTGCACCAGTTGAGTCTCACCTACCCGGTCTAGGACCTTTTCCAGCTGCACGAGTAGAGACCTGTGTTTCCAGTCTTGGTGTGTGTGTGTGTGTTGTTTCCAGTCTTGGTGCCTTCAATGGTATTTGTGTAGGAGCTCCAGAAGGCTCCACTAGGTACCTTCAAGAAACGACCTAGTGAAGCAAGGAGGGCGGCATAGCCAGATCTCCTCGTGAAGGCTACCCCACAAGAAAGCTATGGAGAAGTCAAGCGAGTGCAACTTGTAGTCACGCTGTGCTGCAACACCCGAAGAGTGGTCATCTTCGGGGTGGGGAAGAAGGCCTGGAGGAAGTCGACCCCCTTGCCGCTGACTAAAGCCTCGTGCAACGTAACGTGCTTTGAAGGCACATGGAAAACCCGACGGCCGCTTCACCCTAAAAATCCTCATGCCATTGACTATGTTCGCCCCAGTAGAGGTAACTGCATCAACGTAGGTGCGTGTGGACTTCCAGGATGCCATATCTGAGTCCATGGCTGTCTGCCATTGAAAGGAGTACTGACCTGTGATCGCCTCTGCGTAAGAGCGCAGGGTCGGGATGTCAAGTGCATCCGGGTCTCCCTCAGGGGCAATCAGCATGGTAGCGAGATGAGGTACAGCAGCCGCGAGGCACTCAAGCTCAAACTGTCTGTCCTCAAGGACGTCACTGCCAAGGGCAATATTGTTTGACACTTAGATGTTTGCTCTGATTTTTCTTTTAATTTTCACACTCTGCCTAGAAGGCTCAAGATGCAATGATTGAGGGGGAGGGAGGGGGTAGGGGGGGTTGGTGGGGGTAAGTGAGGGAGAGGGAGATCGGGGGTCATCGATTCCTTGTACATGCAACAAATGTTCAGGCTTGATACAGACGATACAATGGAAAAAAAAAAAAAAGTAAATGTGTATATGATTGTCAACTCTTGAACTTCAAGATTCTTGAACTAGAATTTGCTCGGGAACCAGGTGACCAGGTTTGGAACACCAATCTCTAGTGGCCCCCAAAGAAGTGATTGAAACGCTTGAATATGATTGGTTGAGACTACAACAGCCGCAATAGTCACAGCCATCACCAGAAAAGGGCACAAAACTATAACTACTGTTCATACTTCTGGAATTTTTTAATTCGATAATACATTTCTAGACTCGGTAGTAGTAGGCTCCACAACCCATAGAATCGGCTTGAGCCCGTCAATATTGAGGCTTACACCAGGCAGTTGACTTAGAATCTTAGGGTAAACGGAAGTACTACTCACACCCTTCACTCGCGTCACACGTAATCCTGATGAACGCATGATGTTCGCACAAAATGTTAGCGCGAACGTCCACAAGGTGGCTAGATCTCGACTTGCTAAGGCATCGCCCATGAAATAGTGGTACGGTACATGATGAAAGTGTTGTTCTCAAATTTGAATCGATACCAAAGTTGTGCAACATTTGTAAAGCATTTTGTAACACCATTGTCAGTCACTCTCACAACTCACTTCGGACGTTCAGATGTAATCCCTCGATGCATCCATCCTTGTGGCACTTTTGTCATTTGTGAAGTCGTCAAGACTCTTAGGGCGGGTCCAGCGCGTACGTTTCCAGGTACTATACAGTTCATTCGTCGTAATTTAAAACGATATCAGGCGGTGCACAGCGGTTTTGAAATCGCACCGTTTTTAACCGTACGCGCTGGACCCGCCCTTAAAGTAGTCAAACAGTATGCTGGTCCCATTCCGACCTCGTCACCTTTCGCCACCCTTGGTAGGCGAATTTTACCCTCACTACCCCTCGCAAACTTTCTTTCAACTTCAGTATTTATGAAACATTGCCATCCTAGGTGCTGTTGCTCGCAGTCATGCTCGGGGTGGTGCTGGTGGTGGTCGTTGTCGTTACAGTCACAATGCTGCCGGTCCCCTCCCGCAGCAAGCGGTGCTTTCCGTAGGGTGTGTAGCAAAGGGAGAGTGAGAGCAGCATTGCTCACGCAAAACGACGGGGGTGTATAGCAAAGCATGGAGGGAAAAGGTAACAGCGGTGAGGTAAACTGTTACGCGGAAAGGCAAGGGAGTTCATGTAGAGGAACGACGAGGTGCGGAGGCAACGATGGTAGGAAGCGCGACGCGAGCAGGTCCTCAAGTAGGTGCGCGCATGGAGAATACACTCATTGTATAACTTGATACCCGCGCGATACATTCGTCACGGATTGAGCATGAGGCAGACGCGGAGGCGACATGGCAGGAGGCGCGAAGCGGCGCATAGGAGCGGTGGGCTCGCCACATTCCAAAAATCTTGAGGCAGAAATCGTTTCAAAAGTTTGGTATAACCTCAGGTCACCCTCTGGGGGTAACCACGAAGTTCACCCTAAGACACCCGCAGGTTACCTTTGCGCTCGAGCGATTGCTGCGAAGTGGTAATTCTCGCAATCTGCATTTCGGGAGAAGGATGCGGACCAATCAAGGTTTAGCTCAATTCGCTGTAACCCCGGGGATAACCCCCAGCTTCGGAGGGAGCTATGGCTTCAGCTTCGGTTTCCCATCTGGTTGGTAGTCGATGTAAAGTTTAGAGCGTGAGTCTGTTTATGGAATCGGTTACTACATGTTGTATAGTGAATGAAATCATTAAACGTTTGAATACCCATGTTTCAACGTAGGAACCAAGTTCGATGAGATTAGTGACCACCTATTGGGTGCTGCCATTATCTAGACTGTAACCTAGCTCATTATGCTAGTTCGCACAACTGATCCATGTTTACGTTTTCATAAAGTTGCCTACAGAAAAAAGTGCATGCAACACACAAAACAAAATCTGAGAGTTTACACTCATTACACATCCCAAACATCCTCTAAAGGTATAGTGCGGCAACCCTCAAAGAGAAGAATGGTACCCATAAAGCGACAAATGACTCCTATATAGCTTATCCTACCCATCGTAGTAGGCTTAAGAAAATGCCGTACAAGGATCGGCACGCTTGTAAAGCCCCAGTCCGAAGTTGTTCAAGTTTTAGAAGGTTGATGGGGAGGGAGTTCAATTCTTGGGTTGTGGTGAGAGTATTATTTCGCCGTTTTTTTTTTTGTTTGTTTGTTTTTTTTTTGTCACACAGAACCTATTTGGGACTTTTCCCCAGGTGCGAGCTCGATAGTCCCAAATTGCAAGTGCCCTTCTTTCAAGTTTGCAAACTCCTCAACTTCAAGTTTTATAAACTTGTGCTGTACGGCTTGCAACTTGGGACTCGGGCGCTTGACTGGTTTCGCGTTACCAAACATCCCCCCGGCACAAGTCGTCTGCCTACTTATTCAACAACCACATGCCCGGTCGATCGAAGGACTGTACGACATGCACAACCCGACAAAGGTGAGCACTAGGCACGGCCACACTTGCATCCGCATCCCTAGCTTAATCTAACTTCACACGTCCAGTGAGCTGGTCAACGCCAACCTCCTTCCACGGCTTGACATACGCCACCTCATGCAATGGGCCTCCCTATCCATCCGCGGTCCTCCTCGCATGCATGTGAAAGACCAACTGGCTGTACAGATGCTTGCTGTCCACCGCACCATACTCTACACATGAGAACGCGTGGGTTCCGTGGTGCGATGGTGTTGCGCGTGCACATGTAGCCGATGGCTTGCCTGTGCGCACATCCGCTGCCCGCAGAGCGACTTCCCTATAAACCTGCAAATACATGCACAATGATAGGAAGCAAAGTCACGATTGCATTTCACGATTGGCTTTGGGGAGCAAGGGTTTGAAATGGCAAAAATCAGGGGGATGCGCGTGCTCTGTCCACTCCAGTCTCCACCCGCACCTCTCTGTCCTCACCCCACTCTATCCTCACCCCACTCTGTCCTCATCCCTCTCTGTCCTCACCCCACTCTTTACTCACCCCTCACCCCACTCTCTCCTCACCCCACTCTCTCCTCATCCCTCTCTGTCCTCACCCCACTCTGACCTCACCCCTCTCTGTCCTCACCCCACTCTCTCCTCACCCCAATCTGTCCTCACCCTTCCTCTGTCCTCACCCCCATCTGTCTCCCTCTCCCTCTGTTTGCACCTATCTCTGTCCTCACCCAACTCTGTCCTAACCCCACTCTGTCCTCACCCCACTCTGTTCTCACCCCACTCTGTCCTCACCCCACTCTGTCCTCACCCCACTCTGTCCTCACCCCACTCTGTCCTCACCCCACTCTCTCCTCACCCCACTCTCTCCTCACCCCTCTCTGTCCTCACCCCTCCTCCGTCCTCACCTCCCTTTGTCCCCATCTCTCTCTGTTCGCACCTCTCTCTGTCCTCACCCCACTCTGTCTTTACCCCACTCTGTCCTCACCGCACTCTGTCCTCACCCCATTCTATCCTCACTCCACTCTATCCTCATCCATGTCAATCCTCACCCTACTTTTTCCTCACCCCACTCTGTCCTCACCCCTCTTTGTCCTCACCCCAATCTCTCCTCACCCCACTCTCTCCTCACCCCGCTCTCTCCTCACCCCACTCTCTCTTCACCCCACTCTCTCCTCACCCCACTCTCTCCTCACCCCACTCTCTCCTCACCCCACTCTGTCCTCAACCCTCTCGGTCCTCACCCCTCCTCCGTCGTCACCTCCCTCTGTCCCCCTCTCCCTCTGCTCGCACCCCTCTCTGTAAGCATCCCAGCCTGTACACGCCACTTGCTTTCCGCACCTCTTAATGTTCAGGGCACTCTATGTCCACACCCTCCTCACCACTCTTGACATGGCGTTATCCACAGAGAAACCACCCCATAACCATAACTCTATGCTCGCACCTCGTCTCAGTCCCCCTCACCCTATGCCCGCTTCTCTCAAGACTCCCTGCCCTCATCAGTATATGTCCGCACCCCCATCTGTTCGCACGATGCTCTGTCCGCACCCCCATCTATTAAAACCACTCTCTGTCGTACCTGAGTCTCGGCACTGTCGTACCCATGCCGCTGCATAACGTTGCGGTACGCATGGGCTGTCAATGTACTGTTGGAGCAGATTTCCCTCCGGTCTTTGTGCATGAGCTGACACTCGCATGGTAGCTGGGCAATTGGTTAATACTTGCCTGGCAGTGGTCCGAGCCTGCCCACACCAGCAACACTCACGTAACATCTTGTGAATTAAATGCATAGCATATAGTGATGATCGGGACTTTGGCTAGGGTATACGGCGAGATACCGAAGAGTAAGCGAATTCTAAAAGCGTATGACGAACACACAACCTATCACCCATGCACATCATAGTGTACCAGCGTACCCACTTGGCAGCTGTCGTGTACTTGCGTGGCTGTTCAGGGACAGCAGGAGGAAGCAACATCATTGTTGCCTGTGTTGCATTCCCCTACAAGATGGCCGTTTCGTAGTCGCGCTTGTTGGAGCTTCGAAACGATTGCTTGCATGCACGAACGTGCACATTCTCAAACATAGCTTTGGATTACTCGTGTGGGTGTCCACCACAGCGGATGGCCTCTAGGATATAACTAAGGCCATGAATCTTGATAAGATTTTAGCCATCACCATCCCGCGGAAAGTGGGACTTCAACAAACGAACCACTCTGCAAAACATACCACACATATACGCCTCGAATTCTGGGTATTGTGACGTGCCACAAAAACTACATAGTAGCAACTCTCTCTGTCCACACCATTCATTACCCCCTCACCCTTCGGCAACTTTCAGCTCCCCACTATACCCTCATCACTCCCATGCCACCCTACGACCAGCCATCAGCGCCCTCACAACTCTACTCTCTACCTGCCATATACTCTGCCTGCTCCTTTGCCCGCACCACACTGACCCCCAACTGGTATACCCATATGTCAAAGCGCTATTTGTCTATAAGAAAATTTTGGCACTGGAAAAATGAACTATGAATCAACTGCACTATATGCACCTTTAATATACACTAGGTAGTCCCCACGGGGTCCTCCAAGGGTCCTTGGGTGCCTGGCAAAGCCAGCCCCTAACCACAGGTCCGTGTTTGTAGAGGGAGTTCCCTAAGTGTCAAGGCAATGGTGTGCACTAGAGCATTCACAAGCTCACTTGCGCAACGTTGACGACGAAACGGCTTATGTGCAAAATTAGCTCTTCACGTCAAACGTTGATTGAGCAATTTTCATTCACCAAAAGATTGATTACAACTTCGCACAAGCACACAAGTTATTATTCGCCTAGCAAACAAGCAAAGGAAAATAGCAGACGGTTGATTAACGGTTGTCAAACTTCAGACGAATTTGCCTTGATTTGCCTCTGTAGAAAAACTGCATTCAATTGAATTTCCTCCAAACGCCCCTATTGACTCCACACACGAGCGTTCACAAATTTGGATAACTAAACATGAAGTCCCGTGTGGGATTACCATTTTCACTCCTCAGGGCAACCCTGATGTGACGTTGGGGTAGAAATTTGCGGATGATTTTTCTTTTTGCTAGCAGCAACGATGATGACAGCGAGGCACGTAACGATGTGAGCAGGCAAGCGAGGAATTGTAAATGACGGAGGAATTGTAAATGCTCGAGTATGCAAGTCAAGCGCTTGGGACTGCTCGTCACATGGTGGAGGATGGAAGACGGTCGCACAACAAGTGATGCCGAGCAATAGGAGGAAAAACAAGTGTTGCTAGCCGTTACTAGGTCTGTATCGGCGGCTGGGATGGAACCATTGTAGTAATATGAGCAAAGGGATATGACGGGAGCGCGAATCCCGTAGCAGCCTTTATAGCGGCATAGACAACAGGAGAGCGTCAAACTATGCGCCATTTCCTTGCTTGCTTGCCTTTCACTCCCTCCGCACTTTCAGGTGCTCTTAGTCGTTCGTCACTTCCGCATCATCAAATACTCCATTGTGTGCAGGCCCGCTGCCTGCCAGGTCCCATTTCAGACAGTGGCTGGCACTCGTGGGGTCCACGGCGGAATTCCATCGCAAAAAAAGACTCGCTGACATATTGCAGAAGAAAAAGGGTTACTTTAGGATTCCTGCCTCCAACAACATTCAAGTTAAGGGCGAAAGTATGGGAAAGCCGGGTTGCGTAAAAGCAAAATTTCCGATACAAATCCGCAACATTTAGGACACAGAACGTACACCTCTGTGCAACCTCACGTATACATTTTTGTAACTTCGATGTGAATTTCAGGGCCTACCATGCGGCCAAAGTGTACGTACGATGGTACGTACGCAAATATATATTTGCCACGTAAGCATAAAAAATTGTCACATGGCATTATCGACGTGTCAACATCAGCTTGCCGGGTGGACCAATCCAACATGACTGCCTCATGTGCGAACACTGATTTCTATTGGCTGGCGAATTGCATGAAAAGAGCAAGCGACGATTGCGTTTCGGAGGCTTGCCTTTCTACATGCGTTGTTCAAGGTGCATTGTCGGTGTACACAAACAAATTGTATTATTTTGCACATTCTCGTACATACACGTAAAGTGCTACATTGCACTACCAGAACTAACATAAAAAAACAACAAAACCAACAATGATTACTAAGGTGCAGGTATTATTGGTAGTCACAACAGGGACGAAATTATGCTTCGCTATTACGCATGCAAAAAGAACAAGAGTATGTTAGAGGAACGATTGTGCTTCATAGCTTCTGGGTCCGCATCTAACTCCTACAAAAGAATGGTAACTTGTAATAACTTTCGTGAAACGTGCTACCGTCTTGGTCAAATGAACACTCGTGTTATTATGATGACTGTAAGAATACAATAGACAAGACACAACTGGTTATCTTTAGATTTCAAACATAAAAACACGAACTCCCTACCTACTTTCTACTTGGAATACCATTAAAGCGTGCTAGCAAGGAGCTGGAGATGGGAAAAACGAATAGCGTCGCCACCATGTCTACGAAGCCCTCCTCGTCGAGAAATGCATGACCTGGAAAGTTGAACGCGATGTTGGTGGAATGTGAAATGTGCAACATAAAAGCGAAACGTCGATGTAACGCATACCTCGGCTGAGATAATGTCCAGGCATTCACGCAGGCATTCTTGCTAACACAAAGACATTGATACGAAGTAAAATAAAAAAATGACATGACATACAGTGACTTACTCCTGCTCTTATTAATCACATCGGCTTGCCAGGCTAACGAGTTCCGTCGCTGCGGCCACAATTAGATGGGTAAGATAGCGTCGACGCTGATGAGTCCTCCCACAACGCTTCGGCTCCGGCCGGCGCTCTTGGCGCGGAAGCCGGCACTTTCGCTACTATTAGCTGGCAGAACGTTCTTCGCGTGAAGAAAACACAGCTGCTTAAACTGGAAAAGGGAAGGGGAGGACTAGGAGGGGCGGGACTTATAAAATAGATTTGAGTTTCAAGCTAAAGTGATAGACTTGAACACATTTCGAGAAGAAACCTAGCCTGTAATCATAGATGATAGCGGAGGAGAACAGTAGGGGTGAGGAGCGTGATACGATTTGAATGCTAGACTAAACTAATAGAACGAAGTGTGCGGTTTCAACTTTGTGTGGTTTGAATTTAGGTGTCGTAGTGTGTGGATGAAGGAGGTTGCTGAGTGCATACTTTGATGCATGCACGCTGCAACGATTGGTTGGATGGATTCGCTCGGTTCAGATTTGGTGAGGTGGGAGGTTTGGAGGGGGACGAATGGTAGTGGCGTGGTATGCTGAAAATTCGTGTTGGAAAAAATAATTCACGTAATAAATGTTTAAGGATCGGAACATTCTTGGATTGTATAGACTTGTATGCGTAGCGAAAGTTGTAATAGAATGATTGAATAATATGTTGAATCATATTGATAAAGGCAAGCACTGCGATTGATTCATAGCTAGGCAAATGTACCTAATCGCTAAGAGATTGTACCCTTTCGGTACAGTAAAGCCCTGTTCGTTGACGTCGTCATTTCTAGTGAAGCGATACTCACTAAAACTTGACTCGCTACTGTAGTTAATGACTTAATATTTTCATGAAATGTATAACTCTCTTTGTTCTCCAACAGTTCGAATCTGTATAGGTTGGAAGGAATGTGGGGAGGTGGGTTAGGGGGAGTGTTTTCATTATGTGTACTGTATCGAAATTGCTCACATCGCACATTATGTATCCATGTTACGTACTTCGTTACCGTTGTGAAGCTGCATGCATATCCATAGAAGTGTTTGTGTATACTGGTGTGCTTATGATAGTGTGTGTTTTTGCATATATATACGCTTCTGTATTTTACCGAACCACCTAATGTCGCTGACATTTTTTTTAGTTTGTCGAGCTGCTTACTGAGGAGATTCACTCTACAATGGTCGGGAGCTAGACTACGGGGGGGTTGGCACGAGCTCTATGAGTGATCGTAGCTTTGCCTGTGTTCCTTAGCACTCGCTCATTCACCGGAGAAATTGGCAAGAGTTTTACTAGCAAAGTTGGGATCACAGGATGATTGTTACGAATGCAATTGTGTGAACGAGCGAGAAATGCACTATCGAAGCAAGAGTCCAATGAGCGAAGGCATGAGCGAAGAATATATAGCGAAACTACAGTGGTAACGGTAATGTGTGGAAAATGGGGTGCGCGACGGGCCTAGCGCCGAGGTTGGAAATGTCGAGGCGGAGGTCCGGAGCGCGGGTTACTAACCGAACCGTGAGGTTGGGTCGCGTCGTGAACAGTGGCGGGAACAGTGTCGAAATGAGTGTCGCGAGTGGTAACGGATTACTGTTGGGTGCGGT